CACATGTGGTCAACAACGCAGCGAAGATAATCTTCCTTTCTTGCGATTATAGTGAGACTCTAGGGATTCCTCAATCTGAGGGCCGAGATATTCCTCGTTCCAACCCTCTGCCGCGCCAATGGACATAGACTAACATTGCGAACAACCGAATCTGCGAATTTTTGCCCTCACACATTGTCTCCATAACTTGGGCGCAAAAAGAGTAGACGTTCGAACCCTCCTGGGTTTCTAAACAGCGCTCCCTAGCCATATACGTGACGCGACCGCACGCGGCGCATGTCAGCGTCTCACAACCATGAGATGAAAAGAACACTGGTCTTAAGGATTAGCACGAATGTACAAGGTTCGAAATTTCTTACCTATAGCTTTTATGTAGGATACTCTCGGCAGATTTCGCATGATGTTTCCAAATTGGAATATCATCGCAAGCAGCGCGTTGACACCGAGCATAGTACGTGCTGGAATCGCTCGCGGTCCCAACGCGAATGACACCCAGCTGAAACAGTGGAGAATATCGGATATATGCTAAAGCAAGAAGTGACGAGTACATGATGAAAGCGCAAACCATGAATGGCACTTCTAAACGAAAAAAAAAACACAAAAGTGTCAAATCTACCTTATAAAAATTGTGAGATATGTAGGGAGATAAGCTTGCATAAAATACCAGATAAATCTTCGCTCAAACATAATTATCACATGTAATTCGTCCCACATTCCGGCTGGGTATGGCTGTAATTCGAAGAAATATTCGAGATTTGAAAAGAAGCGTACAGTCCATATCCCGGAGATAGGGTGGTGGGTGGGGCCACAGACGTGAATTGCGGACTACACACAACTTGATAGTTGTCGCAGCGAACAGCTGATTTATATTCGTTGACTTTCTACTATTATTCTGATGTTCTGCTGTATTCTAGTATTCTCTAGCACTACTCTACTTATTCTACAGAACAGGTAAGTCAGTTTCACCGAAAACTATGCTGTTTTGCATGTTATTTGCATGATTTTTCGCAAATATCGAGATTGAATCGTGGTTTTTTATTTTATTCGTAATGTAGCTTTTTCCTTGTTGACTTGTTCCTCACCACAGTATCTTTTATGTGTTCTTTTGTTGTGAGGAACACTACTTTGATGCTGTTTTGAAGCAACTTGTCGCTTCTGTGCATGTCTTTTTCCAGCTACTGCTGCGATCGCCGTCCTTTTCTACGTTGCGTAAGGTTTCCTTTTTATTTTCAATTTCACCTTTTTCCTTTCGACTTGTTCTTCACTACAGCATCTTTTACATGTTCTCCTTGTTGTGTGACGTTGCTGTGCTGCTCTTTTCTATCGATGAATGCCGCTCCTCGTTTCCTTGCAGTTTTGTATTACTAACCTGCACGTCTCTAGGGTTCCTTAAGGTGTTGTGTGGCTTTCTGTGATGTTCTCTTGCACCAATTTTTTATGACGCTTTTGCTACCGACAACTTCTTGTCTGCTGATTTCTCTGTTTCTTACAGAAGAATTCCGTTAGCGTTTTTTCCCGTGACATGCAGATGTCTACTAGCAAACCATGACTTGCAAATAATGTTTATTGGATGTGAAAGCAAAAAAGAATCCTTGCGCAACATCTAAAGAGGCATTTTGGACAAGAGCTGCGGAAGCTTGCGACAGCCGTAGTGAGGAATACAACACTGTCCGCAGAGGAAATAGTGTTCTTGAACAGAATAAAAGCTTTGGAAGTAAGGATTAAGCATGATCCTCGAAACGAAATTTGGAAAAGGTTGCATTTGTGAAATAGCTCACCTGCAGAAAGCGGTGGAATTGTTTACAACTGCTAGCACACCTTGAAAAATTTGCCATGCACAAAAAGCCGACAAGTTCGCGGGCAAAAAGCATTCAAATAGTGTTCCTCACAAACAAGGAGAACATGTAAAAGGATGCTGTAGTGAAGGAACAAGTCGAAAGGAAAAAGGTGAAATTGAAAATAAAAAGGAAACCTTACGCAACGTAGAAAAGGACGGCGATCGCAGCAGTAGCTGGAAAAAGACATGCACAGAAGCGACAAGTTGCTTCAAACAGCATCAAGTAGTGTTCCTCACAACAAAAGAAACACATAAAAGATGCTGTAGTGAAGAACAAGTCAAAAGGAAAAAGGTAACAATTAAAATAAAATAAAAACACGATTCAATCTCGACATTTGCGAAAAATCATGCAAATAACATGCAAAACAGCATAGTTTTCGGTGAAACTGACTTACCTGTTCTGTTGAATAAAGTAGAGTAGTGCTAGAGAATACTAGAATACAGCAGAACATCAGAATAATAGTAGAAATCAACGAATATAAATCAGCTGTTCGCTGCGACAACTATCAAGTTTGTGTAGTCCGCAATCACGTCTGTGGCCCCACCCACCCTGTCTCCGGGATATGGACTGTACTCCGCAATTAAGATACAGTAGTCAAAGGCAGTAGGAGCAGTGGTTGAAATGTAGAGTGATTTTGGTGACGTTAATGTGCCTCATTGGTGGAAGAGCGCTGGGAGATGGTCTTGACACACCCCAGCGCCCATCCATCAATGACGACCAATCACGTCATCGAAACCGCACCGCCCCATCCATCACATCCACTGCCTTTAAGGCCTAACCTCTTCCTTGCGATTAGCAGTGATTTTGAAGAGATCGAAGTCGGGCAGTACGATTGGAGCCATTGGCTGAACAGGCTCATCAATCGCCGACCATCGCATACGAACCTCTTGATTGTTGTAATTGAAGCTAAAAGAAAACTGTTAGGTATGTTGTTGAAGACCGGGAACTAGCTGTGCGGCGTTTCGAAGGAGCTATGGATAACCGTGGTGTTCGCAAAGCAAGTGATCGAGTTAGAGTCCTGTACAAGTAGGTGCAAATGAAAAAGCACCGTTAACAATTATTTTTCGGAACTTGAGTTGAAGTGTGATGCTTTCATTATGGGTTTCCATACACCCCCTCCCCCCTTCCTTCCTGCTCGAAGGAAGAAGGAATCTTAGTAGGCAGCGGGGAGATTCCTGCGATGTTTCAAAAAAAATCCAGAAAATTTTGCTGTTTCAGCTGCTGTATATGAATGCCTCCATGTGACAAACTTACAAAAATGTGGGCGGGGTTGGAGGTGTGTCATGTTGGTTCAATGAAGTTACCAACACCATCAATCATTAAATCGGGTTAAAAGTGGCAAGAAGGCGAGGTCTCCCGATTGGGCCAGTCCGTGGGGAACTTGGGATCTCCCTCATCATTTTCCGAAATCATAAAACATTTCCAACAGTGAATTCGATACGAATCTTCACCATTGTAGGTATTTGATCAAGTGCAAAAGGGAATAATCAGAACAATATCCGCTGCACTATTTTAAGGACTTGTAGGTTGGCGACAAGGGCGGTAGAGCTCTGCCAATGCTCCCGATTAGCAGTTGTGAGTGTTACTCCTATTGCTCGCTATGGGATATCTGTCCCTGTCATAGGGTGTACCCTCTCGCGTGATATTTCCTCTGTAAACTATGTCTCCGTGTCTCCACAGCCAACCTTACAGAAAGTTTGAGGCCGGAGTTCCGGTGCTCTCCTCAGGTACTTCAGCTCTCTTATCATTTTCTGTCCATTCCACACTTCCAGCTTCATTATTGAACGTTCTTAGAGGCAATCTCAAGATAATTGATATGGTTCTTGCATACGAGTACGACTGTATTGGTGCGAAATAAGCAGTAAAGGACAAGGAGAAGAATCCGTCGAATACGCCTAGG